TCTCCTTGTAGCCCCAGCTGTCCTGGAACTCACTATTGTAGACTAGGCTGTCCTCAAACTCATAAAGATCTGCCTGCCTCTGCCTCCCAAGTGCTGCGATTAAAGACGTGCACCACCACACCCAGCGCAAAAATGTAATTTTTTAAAAGCCTAATATTTGGTTTAAAAGGCTAAGATTTTGTTTGCTAGAGTCACAGGACTCATTGTGAACATTAGGTGCCCAGTAAGGAAAGATCTTTAAAGAAGAATGGGGATACTTGAGAAGTATGCATCTTCTGAAAACACTACCAACAGCACATACCTGACTGGAAAGTTTCTTTTGCCTAAAGCACCTATTTCTGCCTTGTCTGAGGAAACTGTCCCTGAGGAGGACAGCACTGATTCTTAATGGCCCACCTTCCACTGTGACTTAGGCCAGAATCTAACCTGAACTTGAAGTTGAATGCAAAGCTTTACCTGAAGTGACAGTTTGTCACAAAAAAGAATTGCACATATCTCATGATTTATATATAGTAGTCCCCTCCTCTCCACCGGGCCTGCACTCTAAGTCCCCAAAGGACTATCTGAAATCACAGGCAGTACCAAGGCCTATAATTTAGTTCCTTTTCCACCATGACTCAACACTCCCTATGCACTGTGGCCATAAGTTTTGTAGTCTGAGATGTAACAACAAAGCTCTGGATTTCTTTTGCCTACTTCACAATTTCATGGCTGGAAGATTTGTTCTTAACCATAGATCTTGGTAAGCTCAACATGTAATTTTTTTCTTTCCTTATTCATTCAAGAACTCTCAGCTTTTCACTTAAAGAAACTCCTTTACAGCTTGATATATCCAAATTGATACTATCACTACTCTTGGGCTTTGAGACCATTCATAAATAAGGATTACCTGCAATGTGATCTCAACAGTTCATCTGATAATGAAGATGGCTACTCTAGAGAGTCCAGATAAAGGGGATGACTCACGTCCTAGACGGCAGGAAGCAGGACAGCATGAGATTTCAGCACTCTACTCAAAACACTGTATAATAAAACTCATGAATTATCTTTGGAATTTTCCATTGAATATATTTTCAAACGCTGTTGGCCATAGGTATTAAATTTAGGGGCAGGAGAGATGGCTCAGTGGTTAAGAACACTGGTTGTTCTTGCAGAAGACCCAGGTTCAAATCCTAGCACCCACATGGCAGCTACAACTGTCCATAACTCCAGTTCCAGGGGATCTGACAGCTTCTTCTGTCCTCC